ACATGCCCCGGTCCTGGTTTACCTGCCATGAACGTTTATAAGTTATTCATGCAGGCATTGAAATACAATTATCTGGAACGTTACGTTTCGAGAGAGGTCTCATCTTTGTTTAAGATTAGCTGATTTGAATAAAAATAAGCATAATAATATTAATATTGACTCATAACGGTGCAATAGTGGAGAAACAATTAACGGGGATAAACAGAGAAACAACTGATGTGTAAGAAAATAAGATGGACATGCCAAAGGGGCCCTCCAACCCAATGTATATGTGTCATAACGGGTTGGAATCAGGTGCCCGTCAGTTTTTGTTTATACGGAGTTACTGGTATCATCATACAGCTTGTTCATTTGTCTTGTTTTGGAGACTTCCAAAGCTAGAGAGTGGTTAGGCTACTGGATTCGTAATCGTATGGTTACTGGTTTGCGGGTTCGAGCCTCAGCTCGGTCCGACGTTGTGCCTTGGGAAAGGCATTTTACACGACATTCTCATTTGGCCCGGTCCTTTCGGAGATGGACGTTAAACTTGGAGGTCCCGCCTCTTACTTAACCTAATAGTGTTGACAGAACAGTTAAAACCCGTACCATTTTTACAAACGAACCTGCTCTAAAGGCGAGTTGTATACGACAATCACCTTCCCAAACAGACACTTTTCATTGCCTCCCCTGTCCATTTTTAAACACAATAATGACACTGTGTAAAACGTCCACCGGTATAAGACCACCATTTTTCTCCTCGACAATGGTTGGCCGTCTTAGAGTGGACAACGTCGATTGTGTAATTATAACATACATCTTCTTTCTGCTGTAACCAAAACACATATTGCTTCATCACAGTTGACGGTGTCCATAGAAGAGAACAGAGATTGAAAAAAAAATTTTTTGGTTGCTTTTTTTTTTAGTGGGATGGGGTTTCTAGATGATGGGACAATGAAAAAAGATTTAGATGTTTTTACACCCCCACCGACACAATTTAGGTCACTTAGGATGCAGGTTTCAGAACCTGCTTGTCAAGGTCTACCCGGGCTGAGAGGGATACAACATCCCAAGCAGAAAGACTCATACACTTTATAAAAATTATGTGGGTGGTTGACGGGTGCTCTGGTGTGGTTGGTTTCTGGTTTCTTCTTTTTCATTATGCATTTACCGTCCTGATCTCACCTCTTCATTGTTTGTATATGTTACCCTCTTAATATCATGTTGCAAGTGCGTAAAACTCTTCCTAATGCAAAAATGTAAAAATTCTCTCCTCACCCCGAAATCGAGCTCAGATCTTCTACGGGTAAAGGCGAAGCGCCTAACCGCTATGCCTAGCCAGTATGAAAGGATAGAGGTGGGTTATCAGAAAAAAGTATGGCATATGCTGCAATTTTTTATAAGTCTTTTCAAATATTTTGTAATTTTGCTGCGTAAACCTAGGTTTTCA